GGAACTGAGCCTTGTTGGAACAAGCGACCAGAAAGCCGATGCTTTCACAAAAGCAGTCGAGCCTGCATTATGGCCCAAAACCCTCCAAAACCTTGGAGTGCGCCTCGATGGTTACACCATCAGGCACACATCAGGCACTGGCCTGAAATTGGACAAGCAAATGGCTTTGCAGCCAGATACACCAACGACAGATGTAGCGACAGGACCTCAGGGCACGACAGGCCCTACCCAGCCAGGGTACAAGAAACGGCAGAAACACAAGCCGAAGAGAATACCCATACAGTGTGCCACAGAGCCTTTCTGATACAGCTGGATAGCCCGGGGTTCAGAACTGATCCCAAGCCGTCGAGCAGCTCAGGAGTCAGAGGGGGGAGATGAAATCCCTCAGCTAAAACAACCTCCAGATGAACTGAGCGTAAGTGAGAGGCTTGCATGCTTACATGTATAGTTTGGTAAGAGGAACTAGGACCACTTTGTCCCAAGTATGGAATTACCATGTAAAGAGTTGCATAGTCTGAAATCGGTATGCTAAAGTAGCATTGCCGTTGCGAACTGAGAGACAGATCGCCAACTACGTTTGGCTCAAGACTTGGAAAAGGTGCAAGGGTTGCGTTGCATGTCGATCGTCATATCGTCCGCTGCCTTTGCATAGGAAAAGCCAGGTTTCAGAGTTTCAACTGAAAATAAAATGTTTATATTCTTATTGAAGGAAACCATTTAGGGACAGTTCGCTTCAATCCGCATAAGTCGCTAATTAGTTTGATTTGCGATGGACTTGCCCCACCCAGTGTTTGACGACTGCCAAGTTGAATTCATATAGACAGTGTTCCCCCCAAAGCACTATAATTAGATTTTGCTATTGTAATATCTAATTATAGTTAAACACCTAAATACATATATAGTATGACACTTTCTGAATACGACGCTTACATAACGGCAATAGATGATATGGAAACCAGAATTACTGATGATGATAAATACCCCGTTGTCAAAGACTATAAAATAAAACACTGTTGTAAATACACGCTTGAAGTGTCAAAATTGATAATTACATGTCTAAAATTTAATATAAATGCCTCGCAAAAAGGGAAATCCAAAGATGAATACAACACCCATACCCGAAGATTTTGAACTATCGGATGAAGAACCAACAATGATAAACTGGATGAAGAACAACAACTGAAGAGCAAGTTTATCACCTTTGACTGTCCTTTATGCCACGGAAAACTACAATTACAAAACACTATAGAAATCAACCCGAAGGGGATAAAATGTAGTTGTAATCCGTGTAGTTTCAAAATATCAAAGAGTGATAAGACTATGAACGTGAGTAGAGATGACAACGGAGACATCAAACTGGATAGTGAAGCACATAGTATATCCTTTTCTTGGAACAGACAAATCACACCAGAAGACAAAGACAAGGAAAGCACAAATAGGATGATTACCGATGTAATGAATTCAACCCCAAGAAGTGAGAAAAAACAATCATCAATACAGGATATGGATTAATAAATATCTAAATAACTATTTGTTTAAATAAATAAACATATAAATAAATATATAAATATATGAGTGATATGGATGAGAACACCGATAAACTGATGGAACTGACAAACAAACTGAACAAATGTAATAAGAACATCAAAACCATAATGGAGACTTTGAAGACCATTGAGGGGAAACTCACTGAACCTAAAAAGGAAGAAAAGATGGATAAAATCTTTGAAAAGAAGAAGATGGGAAGACCCGTCGGTTCGTGGGATGAGAAGAGGAAACAATACTTGGAGTGGATTAACAAAGGTAAAATCACTCAACCTAAAGAGCAGACGCTTGAATTCTACCAAATCGTTCAGGATACTGAAACGGATAAGTATATTTTGATGTGATAAGTTCATATTAAAATCTACAGAGTTTTAATATGAAACTATTGGAGTTATTCAATGGAACAGCTAGTGTTGGTAGAGTTGCCCGTGAATTTGGTTTTAGTGTCATATCCTTAGATTTGAAGAACGCTAACATTAATGAAGATATATTACAATGGGACTATAAGAAGTATGACAAAGACTTTGACATAATTTGGGCGTCGCCTCCTTGTACTGAATATAGCAGAGCAAAAACAACATGTATTAGAAGAATAGATTATGCCAACAGCATCGTTAAGAAAACCATTGAAATCATTAACTACTTTCAACCGAGAGTGTTTTTCATAGAAAATCCGCAAACAGGACTGTTGAAGGAACAGGACTTTATGAAAGACTTTGATTATTATGACGTTGATGATTGTAAATATGGTTTTGAATATAGGAAGCGGACGAGGATATGGAGTAATCTAAAGAGTTGGAAACCCAGACCCTTATGTAAGAAAGACTGTAATAGCATGATAGGCAACAGACACAAAGAGACCGCACAAAGACTACCGTGTAAAGGCAGATGGAACGAACAGAGGAAGAAAACACAGGATGAACTATACAGAATACCGGAAGAATTGATATATGATATTTTTTTAAACCTTTAGTATCTCGTGTCTAAGGAAGGGTTTAGTCAATCCTTCCAGTTTGAAGGTTCTGTTTCCAGTCGTGTCGTATTCTATCTTCCTTCTATCTTCCTGACTTTGTAGTTCTCTTTAGACCATTTGCTGGTTGTCTCCTTCCTATCCGTGTAGTTGCCTCTTCCCTTGCTAAAGATTTTCACTGTATCGTTCCCCTTTATTTCAACATACTTCCTCGTGTTCTTTTCTCTTCTTGTCAGATTTACTTTAACATCCATATGGTTCTTGTCATCGTGCGCTTGGTTGGGTGATAGTTTTGTGGATGAGTGTTTGGTGCTGTTGTATTTCTTCAAGACATAGGGAAGCATACTCGTCCATCCTGCCTTATTAAATCTGACCCTATCATATACCATATTCTTTAAGGTTCTGATAAAACTTTCTACGACGTTGGCATGTGTTAGCGTGATTATGTGATTGATGCCTTCAGCGTCAAAGAACTCTTTAACAACGCTCTTAAAAGCACCGTCGTCATCGGAATATATTGACATACAATAACCCATCTTCTTAAAAGTCTCTTTCAATGCTTTCAATACACTCACCCCATCTTTGTTTCTCATTGGAACGGCATTCCCGAATTTACTGAAAATATCAATGACAACTAATGCATACCTTGGTTCATCATTTTTCAGTGGAATTTTTGCTTCAGGTTCTTTGGTTAAAGGCACCATGTCCATTATATCCATTTGGTATTCGAATCGGGCAAACGGAGCAGTGTAGGAATTATACCCTCTATACTTTCTAATCTGTTTGTTCGGTTGTTTTGCCATAAATTGTTTTACATCTACTGTATTGATTGATGGGTCTTTCTCTTTTGCTTTCTTAAGAGTTTCCTGAACAGACCCGAAACCTTCATTGACATCATAATAAACATTACTTATAATATCAAATTTTGTTAATCGTCTTGCCATATTATACTTTTAGAAAAAAACAGTTTAAAGAATAAATACATAAGATAGATAAGGATGAATAGGTATGAAAACGGTAAAATCTACAAAATCACTGACATTGGATACAACAAGTGTTATATTGGAAGCACTTGCGAATGTTTATGTCAAAGAATGGCAAGGCATAGGGAAAAGTATAAGTATTATTTGAAAACAGGAAAGAAGCATGCACATGTTGTTTTTCTGTTTGATGAATTCGGCATTGACAATTGTAAGATTGAACTGATTGAAAACTACCCTGCTGAAAGTAAAGCAATGCTTCAAAAACAAGAAGGACACTACATCAAGAATACTGACTGTCTTAATAAGAAGGTTGAGGGAAGAACGCGTAAAGAATACCAAGAAGACAACAGAGAAGGAATATGTGAGAAGGGGAAAGAATGGTATGAAAACAACAAGGAATACTGTGCTGAAAAAGCAAAATTAAAAAGAGAACTATTTAATGAAAAGGTCAATGAACAATCAAGAAAAAGTTATTACAAACACCAAACTGAAATCAATGAGAAACGACGAGAACAATACAATGAAAACAAAGACAAAGTAAATGATAGGAGAAGAGAACTATATATCAACAACAAAGATGAGTTAAGTGAAAAAAAGAAAAGATTGAATGTGAATGTGGTTCAGTGATAAGAAAGGCAGATATGAGCAAACACCTGAAAACTAAAAAACACCATAACCACACCATAACTGCAACCCATAAAACTTTACAACCTATAACCACAGCATAGTTACAACCCATAAACCCAGACGTAGAAATAAAACACAACAGCAACAACAATCATCCACCTCATCTTAAAACCATCTGCCCCAGAAAAGTTAGAACCCCCAAAACCCCAGAACCCCCCACACATAAAACATCAACAGCAAGGAAAACACATTGAACATCAAAAAATCATAACAAGCAACACACCAACATAAAACAAAATTGAGAAAATGAATGAGACTAACATAGGGAAGAACCATGAAGCAAAAAATGAAACAGGTAGGGGTGAAAGTTTTGAAAAAATCCCCAGAACCCCCCACACATAAAACATCAACGCCAAGGAAATACCGTTGAAGTTCAACAAAAACACAACAGCAACAACAATCAGCCTCCTCGTTGAATATCTCTCCGAACAGAGTGATTTTTAGCACCAAATTTTCCCCAGAAACCCCATAGAGACTAACTACAAAGCCTCAACACAAATTTTAGCGAGGCAAAAAAATTCAACGAGGTGATTGATGAACAAAAAGTCCCCAGAACCCCCCTTTTACCATTTTTTCCTCCCTACTTATATACAGAAAAAGTGGGGGTTGGACGTGGTGTCCATTCTACTGGTACCTGCCGCATTTCGAGAGACGACTTCCCATGTCCTCTTGATATAGAATCTTATTGGTGCATGAAGCTCCAGATTATGCCTCACAGCCCAAATTTCACATAGATCTTGCAACATAACGAGGTCTCGCCGTGTTGCGTGCCGTGCCCGTGGTGTGTTTCGCAGTGCCCGTGGATCTTCACCAAGGCCACACCATCTGGGACGCGGATCGCGCTCCAAACGCGCCAGACCCGAGCGCTGCGCACCGCGCTGTTCCGTCATCATCTGCTGTGCCAGGCGTGGAAAAGCGGTTGAAATCACAAGCCTTTGAACTCCAATCAAAATCTCTCTTTTTGTGATATGCATGTGATGTGCATATAATTACGTACTTACGTACATGTGTATACTGTATACTTATGTATCCCATGCAATTAACGTAAACAGTTGATGAACAAACCTCCCCTCGTCCATTGGATTGGTGAAACCTCTAATCACGGGGGGCGCTTTGTTCATCAACCGTCTACATTACATGAGATACACAAGTATACATATAGTCATATAGTATGTAATTAGATGCATATCACATGGAGAGAGGGGCCTTGTTTGGATTGAGACCTTCAGGTCTCAGAAGGTGCAATCTAAATAGAGTCCGTGACAGGATCTTCCTGTAACCCGCTTCAGTGAGAAATGACTTCCCTTTTGCAAATAGGAGCCGCGATCCAAAGCGACCAATCAAGCGCTGCAGGACATGTATGGGCTCAACCAGCCCCTGTGCATATGCCAGCGCACGTGCCAGCGCACGTGCCGGTGCATTTGGTCTATCCGCCTCCGGCCCACCATCCGCACTTCTCACACGTCCAACATGGACTGGCTCCATATCCGCCCCGATGTAGCTGGAGCCACTTGGCAAGAGGGAGTGGCAAGGAGGAGTGGCATGACCCTCACGTTGCGAGGTTCGTGATCTATTACAGGTTCAACATAGCACCAGTCAAGGAGCGATGCCCAAAAATAGGCCTTCCATTCAAGAAGTCCAACGATCGCAATTCCAATGCAGCCTCGTTTGCACAACCCCCTGTTTTTGGCGCCTGGGCGACAAGCCGAGCTGCTCTCCCCCTCTACCTTGGCACCTCATGAGGGCCGAAGCCTCCACGAAGCAGCGCAGATCAGGCGCGGTGTCTCTAGGGTTGGTGGCCTGGTGTCCAGGTGTCACACCTGGAAGGGGGGATGGGGTGGCGGAGTCCGATTTGCTAGGTGACCAGGGGGGTCGTGACCCACCTGGAGTCCGACCCGTCCACCTGAGCGAGACGACAGGGGAACCCCCCGTCATGAACAACCAATGGGCGATCTCGATCTCTCTCCTCTCTCTCTGTCTCTATGCATATGTGTATAGCTGGTGTATATATATATATATGTGAAAACTTCCGTAAGGTGAGTTAATTTGCACGAATGCTCCGCCGGCCACTGGCTCGATCTAGCTTCGAGGCGGTTCATGGCTCTTTGCGCCAGGTGTCACCGCGCCAGTCCACACCTGGTGCTTGGGCTGCAGCGGGTGGGAGGCGCTTGGATCCGAGCTGCGGTTCACCTGGAGCCATCCAGGACTCCGGACCATCGCCACTGACGTGGTGGTGAGCGCCGTGAGGCAGGTGCGCGCTCTGCGGGTGACTAGCGTCCTCGGATCTGTCCCTGCGGCTGCACAGGCCTCCGTCAGTACACCCGCTGCTGAGCCCTCCTCTCCTCCGGCTGGAGGGAACTCCGGGCCTGGAGGGGAGAGGACACCTCTTCCTCGCTCGCCCCGGACTGAGGCGGCCCCAGTTGAGGAGAAGAAGAAGGACAAGGGTGCGGCTGAAGAGAGCTCATACGAGCAAGAGGACGAGGAGTCCGAGGCAGTCTCTGACACCACCGTGGTAAAGCACCCCAGTCAGGTGATCACTAAGCAGGGGCTGTCCGCTAAGGCCGCGCCACCGGCTAGGAGATCCACTGAACGTCACGAGGAGGTTAAAGCTGAGGAGGAGGCAGTTGAGGAATCTTTGGCTGGTAAGGCTACCGAGCCGGAGAACTTGAAAGGCGCTTCGAGCGCCAGAGGTTCGAGGGACGTTGGACGAGAACGCCATCGACCTCGCCGTGACCCGGGACACCATCGGGAATCGAAGAGGAAGAGGAAAAGAGATCGCACTCATCGTGCAGGCAGAAAACACAAGCGGCTTCATCGGGCTGAGGCGAACCCGTACCTGCCGTTACACAGAGGACTTGACAAGTCGTACCTTGAGTTCAATTGCCAAGCCCCAAGGGAGGAGGCAATACCAGGGGCACCGCCCCGGCCGAAGAAGCGATGACGTCCTATGGAGGAGATGGAGAGCAGGAAGGTGCGGAGTCACCTTTCGGCACCTACGATGTGAGAGATTTTATGAAATGGCAAATGCTGGCGCCCCAACCAGGCAATGTGATTGTGACCACCGTGCCTGGGGAGCTGTTCGGCAGGGAGGATGTGGAAGCAGTTTCGCAGTGGTAAACACTACACTGGCCTTCGATGCCAGCCTTTTGGTGCAAGTACGAGCTATTGGAGCCAGTCGAGAAGATGCGCTCCCGGCACTTTCAAGCTTTTTCAATCGCCGCCCAGAAGCTCTTCACATTTGCTTGAACGAGGGACCTTGTGCGGTGGAAGACGTTGTTTTCCATGTGCGTCGCCTAGAACTCTGGAGTGGATCCGGTTTTCCAGGACACCGTCTTTCAGTGGCAGGACGCAAATGGTTGAAACAGCTATTAACCCCAGGAGGGGACACCGCCGAGGACGAGGCTCATCGAGAGGAAGAGGACCCTGGCGGACGGATGGAAGACCTGACAGGTGAAGACCTGGCAGGAAAGGAGCAGGCCAAGCGGCCTGGCGTGATGAGGAAGGAGAAAGGAAAGGGCGGCATTTTGAAGACCGCCGGACCCAAGCGAAAGGCCAAGGAGAAGGCCACTGCTGAGCCCCTTCAACCGCGCAGAGAACGGCTGGAGAAGGTAAGGCAGAAGCAGCAAGACTTGGGGGAGAGGTCAGGGAGTCCGAGGAGGCTGGAGGTGCAGCCCATGCTCTGGCCGCATTGACGACTGGGACGAAGATTGGAGGCGACATGAGGCCAGCTGGCGACCGCCGTGCAGGCCTGAGCGATACATCCAAGGGGCCAAGAGGAGATATTTTGAGCGGCCACTTTGGCCACCCAAGTCGCCCAACCGGATGAAGAAGAAGACCCCCAGGCGGAGGAAGGACAAGAGAATGGACGCCTTGAAGATCCTCTTGGATGGCAAAAGGAAAAAAGAAGAAAAAGAAGGAGAAGAAGCGAAAGCGAGACGAAGATCCAGTTCGGAAGAGGAGGATTCCACAGAGAGCAGCGAAGCAGCCTGCGGCAGTTCAGAAGAGGATTTGTCATTACTCCCACCTCTAAAGAAGAAAAGCGAGAAAGAGGAGGGATCCGTGCTCGAGCTCTTGATCGCGCAGATCAAATTGCGATTAAACGAGTTAGGCGGTGCTGCGGAACACGAGAACCCAGTGTTGCAGGGGACCAGGGTCCTGACATACTGGCACACCCTCACTCATTCAGGGGGGGTGAATGCCCAGAATCGCGACGGAAGGGAGATGTTCCTTTTGGCAAATTGCATGGACTTGCTCCGCATTGGTCGCCTGGGGCGGCTGGGGGACGCCCTGGCGGCAAGGTGGTTGGCTTTGGAGCAGGCCGGGCTGGATCAAAACTGGACCGCCGCCAGGCATCTCGAGATCTTCTCTCCGGACCACACCACAGCAGCGGGGCCTGCAGTCACGCTGGCAGCTCGGAAACTTTCCCGCTTGATGGACAAGGTCACCGCAAAGGAAGGCAGGCCGCCCCGAGGACAAAAAGGAGGCCAAGGACACATCGGCCGGACCAGATCCGAGCCGTGGCAAGACAAGGGAGGAAAAGGAAAAGGCGGGAAGGACGCCAAGGACGAGAAATGGAGCAATTGGGGTGGCCGCGGGTCATGGGGAAAGAAGCAGTGGAAGAACCCATGGCAAAAGCCGAAGGGACAGCAGAACGAGAAAGCGGAGAAGGGCGACAAAGGAAAGGAGGAGTAGAGGCTCGTTTGATGGACGGGCCACTTTTGGATCAGACGCTGGAGACAGCTGGAAGTCTTTCCGTGCGGGGCATCAGCCTCTACTTTGAAGTTTTAATGAGAGCCTGCTGGGACGCACATTCCGCGCTTTTGCTGCGCTGAAAAATGGAAGCGTAATTCAAGGCCAGCTATCACGAGTGCTACACTCTAGGAGGCAGATTTTTCCCTTGCCCCGTTTGAACTCTGCAGAAACGATTGCAGTTAATAGAGAACTGGTGTTGGATTGTCTTCAAAATCAATCTCAAGATTGGTTTTCGCTTGGAGTTGCATGCTGGTGCGAACTTGTGATTTTCTTTGCAAATCATTTAGCTACGGGGTGTGTGTGTTGGTCGAGTTCGAAGCCTTCAGCCGCGCAAAACGATTTGTTGGCCTCGGTTAGGATGACTGTTGAGCGTGTGTTGAAGGATGATTGCTTGATTGATTGGTCTGTGAATGACATCCGAGATGATTTTAATAAGAAGTCTGTGTCGTATAGCGGCGAGGAGGTGTGCAAAGCAGAACCTCTTTCTCTTGCAAGAATTAGGCCTGGCTTACCCCCAGAGGGGCACGGTGGCTCAATCTCTGCGGTCGACTGGGTTGGAGAACGAGCCCGAGAGCTCCTGCTTGACCCCCTTGGTTGTCTGATTCCGGATACTGGCCAACAACTCCCCAGGCTTCAAGGTAAGGTGCACATTGAGGCAGGCGACAGGTTGAGTGTGGCTCAGGAGTTGGTAAGGCGAGGAATCTGCCGTTGGACTCATGCTAGCGACGTGGCAACGTACATTCTCAACGGCCTCTTCGGAGTTCCAAAACCCAAGTTTCTGGAATCTGGTGAAAGCGTGTTGCGTGTAATTATGAACCTGGTGCCTGTGAATGCTGTACTCAAGACGATCCCAGGACGGGTCAGCAAACTACCGAACATCGCACAGTGGATGAACATTGTTTTGGACGAAGGAGAAACTGTGAGACTGGCGCAATCAGACATGGCGTGCGCTTTCTACCTTTTTGGGATGCCCGAAGAGTGGAGCAAACTGCTGTGCTTCAATGTCGGGTTTGACTCGAAGACACTAGGGTTGGCTGCTAGGACTGGTGTGGAGGATCGCTGGTTTCTATCATGTGCTGTACTCCCCATGGGCTGGAGTTCGGCCGTTGGGGTAATGCAAGAGATCGCTGAAGCTGTGCTTTTGAGTGGAGGCTTTTCCGATGTTGCTCAAATACAGAAGACCGCTCCATTGCCTAGCTGGATGATCGACTCTACTACAGAGGGGGCTAAGCGTGGTAAACCATGGTGGCACGTGTACCTGGACAACTTTGCTGGGGGGGCCAAGGTGATTGATGAATCCTGCGATGAACTTGAGTCCCTGCAAGAACAGGCTGAAGGGCTTTGGGGAGATGCAGGCATCGTGGTTTCTTCAGGAAAGTCCGTAATTGGAGCAACAAGTGGAGTTGAATTAGGGGCTTTTGTGGGAGGCTCTGGTCAGTGGATAGGAGCCAGTTGTGAGCGAATGGTGAAAATTGTCAAGAGCACATTGTGGTTATTGCTACAGCCCAGGCTGTCGAAGAAGAAACTTCAGGTCGTCATGGGCCGCTGGTGTTTTGTACTGCAATTCAGGAGACCAGGCATGTGTCAGTTTGACGAAGTGTGGAAGGAACTACATCAGCGCCAAGACTGTGGACGCCACCATGGTTGAAAAAGTACGACAGGAGTTGATCCTGGCCATTTGTGGATGCCCTCTTTTTCATACTTGGCTAGGTGCAAAAATTGATGATGTGACCACGTGCAGTGACGCAAGCCAGAGAGGTGGTGCTGTGGCTGTTTCCCGTCATCTGACAGCTGAAGGAAAGTCGTTCCTGGTTTCTCAAGAAAGGGTAAACACGCCCATGGAAGTGCCTGTACTAGTCGTGTCTCTGTTCAATGGCATAGGTGGGGCGGCACGTTGCTATGATATTGCAGGAGTGAAGGTTCAGGCATACTTGGCATGCGACATTCACAAACCAGCAAACCGAACTATGGCCAGACGTTGGCCCGTATTTTGGGAAGATGTGCGCACCCTGACCAAGGCAAAGTTGATTGAGCTTCTGGAGCACGTTGAAGATTTCGAGGAAATTCACATGTGGGCTGGTTTTCCATGCGTGGATCTTAGCAGTGTACGTGCGAATTGATTGAATCTTGAAGGTAGATCCAGTGGTTTGATTAGAGACGCCATTCGAGTCTTTACAGCGTGTCGTGAAATATTCCCAAAGAAGGCCTCGCATTTCTTTGTGGAGAATGTCGCCAGCATGGATCAGGAGGCAAGAGATCAGATCAGTCAGTTGCTAGGTGTACAGCCTTACCGGGTTGATCCCCGAAATCAAGTCCCCAATTCCAGACCGAGATTTTGTTGGACAGATCTGGACATGGATCATTTTGAGCTACTCTCTGTTACGCAAAAGGAGGGATACAAAGAGCTGGAAGTTGAGGGCACGTGGCCACGTTGTGAACAGTGGCTTTCTCATGGATGGAGCCAAGCTGAACCTGGCGTGATCTATCCTACATTCATGAAAGCAATTCGCCGCAGTCGACCACCTCCCCGGCCTGCTGGAATCGCAAGAACCAGTGAGCAGGCAAGGGCAAGGTGGGAGAGCGAGTGCTTTCGCTTTCCCCCTTATCAATATAAAGAACAATATTTGGTGTATGACCAACAGGGTGTAGGCAGGCTATTGAAGGCTGAAGAGAGAGAGGTCTTGATGGGTTACGGCGCTGATCATACACTTTACTGCATGTCAGCTTCGGCTGCTAAGTCAAAAAAGCAAGCCTTTGAGGATGAGAGATGCAGCCTCATTGGAGACAGTTTTACCATCTGGTCATTTGTACTTTTTGCTGCTGCTAGTGTTTCCCAGTACACCAAAGTGTTTGACCCCGCGCTCTTGTTTGACAGAGTGGGACTCCCCCCGGGATGTGGACTTCGCCTTCCTTTGAGATGTCCCCTACAGCGTGGTACTCTCATAGGCCTTGGAGGGGATCATTTGACAGTTGCCAACATGAACCAGCACCTTTGCGCCCGTGTGCGGCGCACAGGATCAGACATCCGAATTTCTACAGGGCAAGTGTTGAACCCAAAAACAATGCCGCGCCAGTCGGTTCAGGCGAGTTGGTGGACATGGACCGCCGTCTTTAAGACGCGATGGTCACAAGAAGAACACATTAATGCATTAGAGATTCGGGCAATCTACCTCACGATCCTTTGGAAAGTATTGAGTCGGCAGCTGGTCAACCGGATGCTTTTTCACCTCACAGACTCATATGTTGCTTTATCAATCCTCTCCAAGGGCCGGATGCAAAGTCGGAAGCTCAGGTTTATCGTTCGGAAAATAAACACACTCCTACTGGTAAGTCATGCACTTCTTCATCTAGCTCACGTAGACTCTTGCGAGAACCCTACCGATGCCGCGAGCCGCGCCTGAGCAGCTCGTCAGAGAGAGGCGAAAGCGACGGAAGGGACTCAGCCTTCATGACAGGGTTGTGACGCTGAAGACCAGGATAAGGTATTTCGTTGCTGTCACGGCCATTTTACCTGGCCTTGAGGCGACACAAGACGACATCGATGATTTCCTCATTGAATGGATTGACAAACAATATGTCAATGGAGCAAGCATTACGTCCGTGGCAGATTCACTATCCGGGCTCCACCACTACCTTCCTTGGTGCCGAGGAAAGCTCAAGGGAGCTTGGAAGCTCTATGGGGTTTGGCGCAAATTAGAGCGTCCACGCCAAGCACCACCGTTCCCCGTTGAGATGGCAATGGCCCTGGTTGGGCGATGCGTTGAAATGGAAGACCTCAGGCTGGCGCTTTGCCTTTGCCTGGGGTTTTGGGGTATGTTACGTACAGGTGAGATCTTCAGCGTCAAGTTTCGACGCCTGCTCATTGGAAGTGAAAACATGATTGTCAGGCTGGGTGACACCAAAACCGGCCTCAGACGTCAGTTGACGAGAATGTCATTATCACCGACGCACCCACCAGACTCATCGCACAGACCTTGTTTGACGTTGGTGTTTCACGGCATGAATTGCTTTGGCCCGACTCTAAAGTTACTAAAGCACAGTTTAGGCAGGCTTTTAAGAAGCTCACTGCATATTTTCATTTGAAGGATTCTTTCAGGCCCTATTCATTGCGAAGAGGAGGGGCTACGGAGGACTTTAGAGTTCATGGCCTTATGGAACGATCCCTCCTGCGAGGAAGATGGGGATCAAGTTTTGCCGCCGGGCAATATATCCAGGAAGGGCTGTCTATGCTAACCAAGCTGACTTTGCCGCCCTGGTCCCTGCCCCTCGTTGCTCATTATAAGCATTTTTTGGACCTCCATTAATTTCGGCCCAGTACTGGGGTCGTGGAAAGAGGTGCCTGAAGTGTTCGGAAGTTGTCAAATTTGACAAAGTTTTCTCCTAAACGGCTTGCCAATATAGCCGTGCCCTTTTGAGGCAAGGCCCGCAGTTGGTGGAAAGGTACAGAAACGGCTTGCCAATATAGCCGTGCCCTTTTGAG